TTTTTTTTAAAAAAAAAAAAAAAAACACAAGGTATGGTGAGTCGTGGACATAATACGCACCATTCTAATGGTGGTGATGTTGCTGCTGAGACATATGCGGAGGAGGAATAGGGGGCGTAGAGTTGGGATGTTTTCCGTCGCCGAGATCCTTGATATAGCGCTGCGCCTCGGTCGCGATGTATTCCTGGATCAACGAGCAGTCGCAGTCTGTGTGCTGCAGAAGCCTCATCTTAAGCTCGTAGACTTGGAGGGTAAGGTCGGACACGCAGTTCGATAGATCACGGTTGACGCGCTCCATGTCTTCCTCGTCGGCGCGGAGTTTGATCGCATCTTCGCGCTTCTTGACGCGGAATTTGTTGGAGGCGATTCTGTTTCGCTCTTGGATCTTTTTGTTGTGCGTGTCGTATACTTCTTCGGGGTCCAACTCTGTGTCTTCGTCTTCCTGCTCATATTCTTCTTGTTCAGGTTGCTTTTGTTTGGCGGATGCCCTCGACTTGCTGCCTCGCTTAGGCTTTTCTGTAGTTGCGACAGATTCCGTTTTAGAGGGCTTCCTTGTTGAGGCGCGTCTCGCGGGCTTTGCAGCTGGGGGTTTCGGTTTGGATTTTGTCGCTGTTGCGGTGCTTCGTTTACGTTTTCGCTGATCTGGCTGGGTTGAAGAAGATGCGCGACGGCCTGCTTCATCGCGGCCTGGCGAGAGGTCTAAGCTTGTGGCTTCGGTCGAGGGTGAGGGGACGGGATAACTGTGTGTTGAGGTCGAAGGGGAGTCCCATTGTGTCGAAGTGTCTTGGGACAATGTATAGTTGTCGTTGTTGGGGAATGGCTTGTCGTGACCAAAGATGTTTGGGGCAGCTACGTTGGCAGAGTCGGCAAATGCAGCATCGCCAGCTGACCACCATTGACCCCAGTTGGCCTCTGGCAGCATGCCGTACGGGTTCATGCCCGGAGGCCCTTGGGCCATGGCGTTCATATCCTTCGCCGACGCGTAGCTGTCAAAGGCTTGCATATCTTCGCTACGCTGACGTTGGTGACGATTGGCAGGGTGGACAGTGCTCCTCGTAGTATTGTGCGAGTCAGTCTAGTTTCCTTTAGCGACTGGAAGGCCAAGAGAAAGATGCCGACCGTTGGAATTGAGGCAGTGCAGTGGATATTCAGGTATTGAGAAGAGGGGGAAAGCTTGAACGAGAAAAAGTGTATCAAATCAATCTCTGGAGAGCGAACATTAATTATAAGTAGAAGTAGAAGAAGAAGAGGGGAGGACAGGCGTCGGTTCAAACAAAGCAAACCATGCATGCATACCACAAGTGGCGAGTACGTATGTACTGGATGAACTGCATTTAGCGAAAGGCGTTGATCGGCAAGGGAGGAGATATCAAGGGCCTAAGACATGTGGGAGGGTAAATACAGTACCGTACTGTAGGTGTGGATATGCAACAGAGTGGCTTCTTACGTGGGTTACCGGTTCTGCGCTACTGTACAACAAGCCGTGGCTCCTCCAGAGACAACATGTACGTGCCATTGACCAGCGCGGAGAGATAAGTAGAATAGAGTAGAGTAGTATTAATGACAGCAACGGGCTGGCATTGATCGAGCGGCACTATTTACCAACAAAGACGGGATAAGATACGTGATGATGAGCTTAGCAGTCGTTCGATTAAGCCCATCATGGCTGGATCAATTTACAGTATTGCATCGTACAGTACTTGCGGGTAGCCAACCAAACGGGCCGGACGATATTGAGACAATAGATATTACTGTTCACTTTGAGTCTTTACTGTACAGTAAGTACTCGGGAAGTACAGGAACAGGTTGGTACTGTAGATGTCTCTGCAATTGACCTTGCCAAAGATAGATTAGTGATTACACGACAAGAGGGACAGCACTGAAGACAAGAAGGTAAAAAGTTACAAGGAGAAAGAAACAAGAAAAGAAAGAAAAAAGGTATTACCATGTAAGAGCGGGGCTGAACAGGTTCAAGAGATCGAAGAAGCTGTGATTGGCCACTGCCACGGAGAAGTCGTCCATAGAATTCTATTGGTGGTGGGTGGTCCGGAAAATGTGATTGGGCAGATAGCTGGGTTAAGGAGGTTATCACACAGTATGATGATATTTACACTACCTACGTATGTAGATAACGCAACCGCGTAGAAATAAGAGGCTTGAGACATGCAGGAGGCTGAATGAATAAAGAGGAGAAGAAGAAAACATGCATGTAGACCGGTACATCTCAATTAAAGTAGCACAGTAGAGTGACCAGACCCGCTGCCTTGACTGTACGAGGCATCCTTGGCATTCAATTTCCGAGGGAGAAGAGGAAAAATGGGCTTGCTGAAACCAGAGCGTATCGCTGTCTTGGGCCATCGTAATTCTATTGGTTGCTATCTGTCTGCACCAATCAGAGAACACGGACATCCTGCCCGAGGTTTGGGGTATCTACCGGAACTGTCATTAAACTGGAACCAGGGAAAAGGGAGCCAACGGACAGCTATTACAATATCTTCAGTTACTGTACTATATATATGTACATCGTTTAGAGTCCACTGAAAAAGATGCAAGATGACATGACCTGTTCCTTGTATCTGCGAGCGAGTGACGTGCATTTTGCTCCTTGTTATCTACGCACTACGCTGCTACCGTACTGTAACTTCAGTGTTTGGAATTGAATCTACTGTGCTGTGGCCCGGTTAAGACAAACCACAGATCTTTGTTTTTTGTTGCACATTCCTGCAGGACTATGATGGGGGGGTTGCGTTGATGCTTCGTGATCGCAAGCCATCGCCGCATGCATGCATGTACGTACCAACGTGCTTCATTTTCTCCGTCCAGCTTTACATTATACAGCATTCCGTGTTGAAAACCCATCTGGATATATGCTATCATTAATCTACGTTTGGCTACTGTTGCAAGGCACTCTTGCCATGATCAACTGAGGCTGTCTATAGAGGAAAGCATAATGACCAAGGATCAAACTTTTCGTACCGTTAGAAGTTTTTCTTTTCCTGAGATACTGTAACATGAATATCAAGAGAAATAACAAAGACAGGGACCAGGTCTTGGTGCCGGCAGTAAACCCTGGATATTGCACCTTACTAGCCCCATACTTGTTCTTCGAGATGGGGCAAACAATCATTGTTGCCCGCCCCTTGGACTTGATACGAGGTGCAGTACAGTACTCTAGCCTCCGGGGGTAAACATAGTCACAGCACTCAAACGGACTAGGTCCGGTTTAATTGATGTGAGACTCTGTAGTCTACGTAGGGGACACAGTGCCGGACGATCCTGTACTGAAGGTGCCTTGGCCAGAGTGATATGAGTTGTCGTTCCGCCATGAGTGGAACATGAATGATATGCAATGGATAACATACTGCGGACGCAGATACGCGGTGAGGATTGAACTGATGAGTCTAAGATCGTGGAGGGAACAGCATGCCTTGAGGTCGGGATGTGGTATGCGAAATCGGTTGGAGCAATCAGAGGCTCCGGAGGTGGCCCGAAAAGCAGCCCTACAGCCTGCAGTAAACAACCTGCTACAACTCTAATAACTAGCACAACTCTCTCATTCAAAGGAAGCTTTAATGATTACGTTCACTGATTCTTATAATCTAATTGTGTGTAACTCGTTGATGACTTTAGCTGAGCCTAAAGCTAGCCTGTTCAGGGGTGTTGCGGAGGTAGCGGAGCCCAACGGCCACCTTCTGTTAAACTAAAAGGCTGATCCATATTTCCCTGGGTACTGTTCTTTTTATGCTAGATTTTCTACCTGCTCACTTTGGACGTGGATCGCTGTTTTGTAATGCTATCCCTCGTACATTTCCTGCTTCTTCAGATGGCGTTTTGTTGTAGGCTCCAAAAACACACCTCAACTCGTTCACGATGATTCACTGCAGCCATGCCTGTCACCCACAAAACCTCGCCCCTTGAGGGGTCCTTCGCAGAATCCCTCCTTGTCCCAACAATGATCTCAAAATGAACGATCCTTTTGCTGAGCGCCCGATCGTCTGGAGCCAGCCTTCCTCCTCAGCCTCCCTCAACCATCAAGCTCTTCAGCCTCCCGAAACCTTCGCACCTCCATCGACAATTCCCTCAGCTGTCAAAGAAGAAGACTTTGAGCCAGAACTAGATGCCAGCGACACAGCCCCCCGTTCTACCGCCGCCTCACGCCAACGTCTCTTCGCTGCACTCGAAGCAGATGATTACTTCCTTCGACCACCGCGTCCCATAAACTCAGCCAACGACCTCGATGGACTCGAACTAAAGCGATGTTTCGAGATCCTTCACGCGTGTAACATCGCGACGGAAATCGATGCGACCCTTGTTTCGACCGGGAGGACCATGGAGGACTTTTTGGAGGCTGTGTTTGAGGAGGATTCGCTCGAGAAGCCGCGATTGCAGTTTGTTGCGAGGGAGTTCCTGCAAGTCGGGAACGTTTGCGGTAAGAATTTCCTCTATTGGGTTGGGATAATGCTGACATTCTTAGGTGAACCAAGCAATCATCAAACGGTCAGCGCCTGCGAAGAATCACTATCCTGCCAAACACCCGTCTACGGCATCGCGACATACCGCAGCTACCCAGCGCAACTCAGTATCAGCTTCTCAACACATGGGCCACCTCGACGATCAAGCGAACCACTACAAGGCCTGTTCTGTCCCATGGAACGAACCGACGTACGCTTCCAGGATGAACAGAACTGGATGGCTGATCTGCGACAGAACATGAAGAAGGCATGCCTCAAGAAGGTGCACATGCATAATAAGCGGCTTGCAGTGTGGTATGTAAGAATCTTGGCGAGAGGTTGGGCGAAAGGGAGTATCTGGATGGGCAAGGACGTCAAGGTTCTTTCTTTTGTGTCGCGAGGAGCTGTTGATGCTTCTTTCGCTATGATGGGGGACTTTTATGGACACGAATGAGATACCCAGCCAGGCCAGCTAGCGGTGAGACAAATTGATTTCTTTTCTCTACCTCTTTTAGTCTAGTCAACCTCCTGCAAATGCTTCTTAATCGACCTCAAACCACTGTGCTCATGATCATGATCATGTCCTGCATGCTCATCGTCTCCGGACCAATCCGGAAACCCATCGTCGAACAAGTCCTCAAGCTTCTCCCTCTTCTCCTCATCACTCAAACTTTTCCTCATAACACCTTCCCAGTCCGCAAACTCCTTATCCGTCAGCAAACACTCATCCAGGACTTTCTCCAGCGCTTCACGATCCAGATTCTCCCCGATAAATACAAGTTCCTGTCTTCTGTCTCCCCATTCACCACCTTTCTGAATATCGTGTTGCACGAGACCATCGACCTCTGCATCACCGGTAGTGTAGTCTTCGGGCGGGAGGGTGCAGAACCAAGGTCGACCGCCGGTCATGGTGAGCATTGCGCCTGCTTGAGACCAGTCCCCTGCGCGGTGGGGACGTGTAGCGAGGAGGAATTCACCTTTGGAGCGGAAGAGGCGGGAGAAAATGGGGTGTTGTCGCTTGGTCACGAGTATGGTTTCGTTGGAAGGTGGGGAGAGGTCTTCAGCTTCATCCATCTCTGTGGAATTGAGCTTTTGTTTCTTGGATGAGGGCTCGGGAGATGGGGCGGAAGAGATGGTTGAGTGGGAGCTTCGGGGTGATGAGGGGGCGGACCGTTTGCCGCGTGAGGAAGATGAGTCTGATCCGTCTTGCTCCTGCGTTGATGTGACTTGAGACGGCTCCTCAGCGTCCGCGTAGTCGACCATCTCAAGATCCTCGTCTTCATCTTCTTCTTCATCCTCTCCATCCTCTTCTTCGTCCTCATCCGGATGTTCAAGCTGGAGAATGAACTTGTCGTACAGCAACGCCCAGAGTCGACGAGGATGGAAGGGTCTGTGACGGCTGTAGATACAGCTGCGGACCGAGTACTCTTCAGTTTCAGGCTTGGGAGTAATGACATTACGGCCATTGACCTGGGGCTATTAGCATACGTACAGTATTCAAAGTGAAAGATAGGTAGCTCACCTCGCGAACAGTCATGGCATGGAGATCCTGGAGCCAGCCATAGCCAGACTGGGCAACCTGGAGGTTGAACATGCCCGTGTTGACAATCTGCTTAACATCAACCTTGCCATAGCTTGACTCAATGACCTTGGCTCTATGGTTGAGCCTCTTGATCAAGTCCAGTAAACGAGGCTTCGTTGAAGCATCGACCTACAAACTTGTTAGTCACCGACGGCAGAAGGAGAGCAAAGACTTACCATGTCGAGCTTGTTGAGGATGATAACATCCGCAAACTCGATCTGATCAACCATCAGATCTGAAACTGTTCGTTCGTCTTCAGGGGTAACATCATCGCGTCTGGAAGACAAGAGATCACTCGTGTCAAAGTCATGTAGCATGGTGAATGCATCAATGACAGTGACGGTAGTATCCAATCTTGCAAACTTCTCAAGACCACCAGCATCCTTCCTGTAGTTATGTCAGCCATCAATCTCGCAACTGCTAGAGGAAAGACCTACAGCTGCTTCAGCACTGCAACCATGTCCTCATCCAACCCAGCTCCTTCCATTGAATCCATCTGCTCCGCCAATCTAGCATCGAAGGTTTCAGCAACCTGTTCCGGCTCACTGATACCGCTACTCTCGATAATAATATAGTCGAATTCCTGAAGCTGGGCAAGGCGGACCAGTTCTTCAAGGAGATCGCCGCGGAGGGTACAGCAGATGCAGCCATTCTGGAGAGCGATGACCTTTTCTTGAGTCTTGGTTAGGCGGTGGGTTTGTTTGATGAGAGAGGCGTCAACGTTGATACTAAGAGCGTTGGTTTGTTAGTGACAAGTGAGAGGAATAAGGGAGGGAAGCTTACGCTCCGATGTCATTAACGACTACTGCTATACGAAGACCGTGTTCGCTACGGAGGATGTGTTGAAGAAGGGTGGTTTTACCAGCGCCCTGACATTGTTAATCTTGGATCGTATTGGAAATCTTTTGGAACTTACCAAGAACCCAGACAGAAGTGTGACGGGCAAAGCCTTTGGAGGAACAGAGTGCTTCTTAGCACCCTTGTTCTTGCTTCCCTTCTTGACTTTGTTCTTAGCCATTCTGATCACTGAGGGAAAATGTTCGATAGAAAGAAAGAAGGAATGTTTTGAGAGAATGACTGATCTGAAGAGTCAGAAGCAAGTTTTACTTATCTCGAAGCTCATATTTCTACCCATTCTCGACTTACACGATATCGTCTGTGCTCATCAAGGTGAGGCCATCAGGGTCGATGGTGTAAGTACCTTGATGACAATTTCGGCAAGGCAATTGGTTACGGCTGGCGAAAGCCGAGAATGGGGACCTGATCTAATACTTAAATGGTCTAGAAGAAGCCGGGGATGCGGAGCTGCCACAAGGGTTGGCGGTAGCCATAGGCTGAAGGCCAACCAGGTTGGGTGCGATTCTAAGCACCATGCTTTTCTTCAGTAAGGATAATAATCAGAAGCCTACTAATCATTCTTATCAATTCTCTCTTTAAAGAGTTCTTTAGGTGATGGCGCAGTGGCTGGTTAAGAACATAAACTAAGAGACCTGACAGTCTGAAGAACCGTGTGTTCGGCAACAGGGTTAGGCTAGGTGCATTATCAATTCTTTCAAAGTAATTGGCCCATCCAACTAAGCGCGAGTATACATCATCGCTAGAGGCAGTTCGGTTCGATAAGACTTCGCAACAGCACCCTGTTGACCTGCTGAGAACCTTGATGTCTTGCATCACAACTTTTTCAAATGGTGCAATCCAATCTCTTACGTCCAGCTCAGTGTGAAGCTGCAGGGTATTGGGGGCATTCTATCATCTTTGCGGCATTTTGCGAGGACACAACGGTATAGGTAAGACTGGAAGGCAAAACTGGCCTTTGTGATGAACTTGGCTTTGATAACATCACTACTCGATGCAACGGTCATGTAGTAAATTAGACTCACAACCATCTCTTGCCAAAGGATTACTATTATCAAGCACATATTAAGAAGTCAATACCTAGTTAGACAAAGGATTCTTCGAGCTCTGGCCAAGAAGCTCGCAAAGCCCCTCAATATCACCCTGTTCCTCCAAAGAAAGCACCACCTTCTCAATCATGCTTACTACTTTCTCATCAACAATATCCTTCGTCAACTCCCTCCACTTGGTTAGAATATCCCCATTAGACAACGGCGGATCGACACCGAAAGCATTGGGTACAGCGTGATGCAGGATTGTCCCATCTTGAAACTCGATCCTTACTTCTTGGGCGCCGATCGAATCACCATCAGTGATATGCAGTTTACACTCTGTCAAGTTGACGAGTCTCCAGACTTGTTCATTCTTGAGCATCTCGGGTGTAAATTGCGGCATGAGAACCTGTCCATGGACAATCTGTGTTGCAGTCGTGAATGAGTTACTCATCTGTGCTCCAGTCGCAGTGAGTGGCCTCTCGGCTTTCCATCCACCGTGATGAAAGGCAGCTTCCCCAAGCAAAATCTCAATCCTCTTGATCTCATCGAAACTTCTCATCTTGTCAGGGTTTTGGTCTTGTAGATGATGGACACAGTCGATGCTGGGATGTGTACCAGCCATAGCAGCGTACAGCTTCACACGAATCCCCTCCGTCTGCCACTTGCTTCCCAACTCACTCGTCAACTCTTCAACTCGGTATTGAGGGGTCTTTCCATTTCCAGAACTGAATTGTCTCAGAAAACCACCATACTCACGCTCAAAAACCTGCTTGATGCCTACATAGCCACCTTGTGCGAGGATAGTAGCCATGAGACCGTTCCGCACTGCCATTCCGTGGTGCATACGCTTGACATCGCTTTCGAACTGGGCGGACATGAGACCGCATGCTTGAGTACATGCTATTCCAAATGCATCTTCGATTTTATCCGCGTCCAGTCCGTAGAGCTTGCTTACACTGGCGACAGCGGCAGCAGGGCCAAAGACTGCACCCGAATGCCAACCTGAGGTAAGAACATGTGTTCCCCAGAGAGACCGTCCTACACGTGGTCCCGTCTCATAACCCGCGATAGTAGCGAGCAAGAGATCCTTCCCAGACAGAGTGGATTGAGGAGCGTGTTGGGCAGCAGCAAGCAAGGCTGGAAGAATGATACTGTTTGAATGAAGAGGAGCTTCGCTGTGCCAATCGTCTAGCTCAAAGCCTTGAATGAAGGTACCATTTAGAAGCGCTGCGGTAAGAGCAGTGGCTTTGCGTCCTCCCCAGCCGACGAGGGAGGTGTCGCCCTGGGTTGGCTCGAGGTTGAGGAGCGCCTTTGCTGCTTTCTCAGACCAAGGGAGGTGGGATCCGACGAATGCACATGCGAGGCCATCGAGAATGAGATACTTTGCCCGAATACGGACTTGTTCTGGTACATCTTCGAGTCTTAGGTCAGATACCCATTGTGATAGCTGCACCGTTGGACTGACTTTCGATTCACTCATGTTGGAAAATGTTTTGAGTAGATGAAGAAAGATTGATCACAAGGCATTGAGTTGGGTTATCAGATTCTCTTGTACACAACTTCTTTATCTTTCAATGCCGAGTTCGGCCCTGGGGTTCTCTTTGTGTTGCCCGAACTTCCCGGTAGGTGATCCCAAGCCTCAATTGGATTGCCGGAGCACTATGTATTAAAGTTACACTATGGCCTTTGTGGCAGAGAACGGCAAACGTTGTACATGATGCGACGTCATTGTGTCAGCAAGATCTGCAGCTATTTCCCTAGCATCGCAGTACTAAAAAGGGAGCGCCACAGCGAGGTCTAAGAGTAGCTCTAGATTGCGCTAATCCGTCAGAGCAAGCAACCCGCAAGACTTGTATATGCGTTTCAATTCAGCATTGCCTTTCTTCAATAAATATCAGAATTATTCTGCTTACAACGAAATATCTATCACAGGGAGGCATTGTGGACGGGAAAATTGCAAAAAGAAACATACAACACCGGG